TACTTTTTATATTTTACATTTATACTTATTATTGAAACTTGCACCAAGGGAGTGGCACTCCAATTTCGTTGTACTCTGTACAATGACAATAAAGGCTATTCTATTCTATTCTATTCTAAATGTGGGAGGAAGTAGTGCCAGATGGTATGTTTGCAAGATGGCAGCTGTTGATCTAGTGTTTGAAGAGAGAGTCTCCCTTCTCTATTAACTGTAGAGAGCAGAGCAGCGGCGTAAAGGACGTCCTCGCCGTACCTGGGACCATCAGGTCCTCCAGAAGCGTGAGCAGTTTGGTGAGTTTCACCATTTGCTTCAGGACCTCTGTCTGGATGATGGCCGCTTTCAGCGGTACCACTGTCTTACCCTTGCCCAATTTGAGGAGCTGCTGTCCCGCGTCAGTCCAAGCATCACCCGCCTGGACACCAACTACAGGTGCTCAATCCCACCTGCAGAGCGCCTGTCCATATGCCTGGTAAAAGTGTTTAATACAGTAGTCCTTTATTGATACCTATGCTAATATATGTTAAACTATCAGTTTATACACTGATAACATGGATATGGTGTGCTATCTGTGAATGTTGTCGGTGTTTACTGTTAGCAAACTGTGGTATCGAGATGACTGTTTATAATATTTCTAGTGATATTCGAAAGGTCCTGATGCTGAGGGAGAAGTTCATGGCCCACTTCTCGGCATAGGGAGCAGTGTCTTGGCAGCCAAAAGAATATCCTATTTGACGTCCCAGTGACTTCCCCAGAATGGCTCTTTTAAGAGCAACCCACAAACCTCTAAAGTGCATTCCTGCCTTTTTAAAATTTACTTAATAAATGGAGCTTGCCTCCAAAATAAACTAACCTCTCTTTATTGTCTTAAATAATTGGTCTTCACTATGTTCCTATATAGTTGTATATTTTTTCATTAGTATACTATGAAAAAAATTCTACATGTGTCAAGTTGTGTGTTAATATTTTGCTGTGTAGTAGAACTGATACAATAGTTATTAAAAAAGAATTATTTGAAATAATATTAGAATAGAATAGAATTCAACTTTGTCATTGCACATGTTACAGGTACAAGGCAACGAAATGCAGTTTGCATCCATCCAGAAGTGCTTTAGCCATGATATAGATATATTACAAATATATATTAGCAAAAATATAGATATGTAAGTATATTACAGAAATGGGTCTATTATGGTATGTTATAATGTACACGGTATGAAGGTATGTTATGAATATGCTATAACTATAAGTATGTACAGGCTGTAGTGAGTACAAGTAGAGCAGGGTGATATGAAAGACATTCATTCATTCATTCATTCATATGGCCAAAAAAATATATCACGATATATATTTGAAAATTTGCGATATTGATATAACTGACAATATAATTTATGCTATAATTGACACTAGACAAAATACTTTACAACTCCACAACTTTATTAGTGCAAAAACCATCCATTTATTTTCAGTTAAATAAGCAGCTGTTTTTTATGTGCATTAAAACCATATAAACATTTAACAGTGCAAATTTCTTGCTGAAAGTTTAACCAAAAGGCATTTCCAGTAGAAATGGGCTGACATATCCTCAGCATAACCATGTATGTAATATCCACTGAAGTTCAAAAGAGGCGCTTTGCAACCTTAAACTGCAGTGTGCCAAATAAAAAAGTCAAATACATATTTTTCGGACCACAAGGTGCACGGGATTATAAGGCACATTATGCTAACATAGCTGTGTCGCTAGCGATACGTAGCACATCATTATATACCAGTTAGCCCAACTTCAGTAACCATACAAACGTCTGCTGCTGTTTATTTTCCTGTCTTCATTTATGTTGGAAGTGATAGGAAAGCTAATGTTTGAATTTTTTCAGAATTCTCTCAGTCAGAACATGGTATATCATGCTTAGGTAACTGGCGAAACTAGCGAGCTACCTTCCGCTAATTTCCTGCTAGCTTCTAACTCCGTTAAATGTAATAATTTCTGTTTTCATGGATGCCTGTATGTTAAACTTCATAGTTACACCTGGTAAAGCAGCAATGCTGATCGAAAGAATTTAGACAGTTTTTAACTGTCAGTGATGCTGCAGTGATCGTTTAACTTTGGGACCTGAAAGGACGGGGTTTAGAACCCCGATTACACCCAGATTAACGAGCACCTTAGTCCGACAAATACGGCAATAACGATGGCCCGCTTGCATGTTCTACAAAAAAATTTACTTTTCTGTGTATCTGATGGACAAACACCACACAAGTGAAGTTGCACCATTTTTAAAAAACAGTTCTGGTTCATCCGTTTCACTCAAAAATCCACTTTCCCCCTTCTCATTCTCCGTTGCCTCTTTTGGCTTTTTCGGCCATGTGCGTATGAAAACTAAGGGACTGCGCATGCGCGTTTTTGTCATGGCTGGGTCTGTGACCCAGCATTTTGAGTTCATTATATATTGTGTATTGTCATTTATTATTTGGGTTAAGCTCATCCACCTCTCTTAAACCCCTAAGTTGTTCAGCCTTAGTTCTGTTTATTGGATCTCCTCATTTCCCCTTCCCCTGGATCTTAGTCTCATTTGCCCTTTGTGTTCCACGTCTCGTGTTGTCAAGCCCATGTTGTCTGGTCTGTCTTATCATGTTTCCTGTTTTATTTTGAAAGAGTCCTCTGTTCTTTGTTCATTGCATTTAGCTTTCACTTCCCCTGTCCTGTCTTTAGGTTATGTGTGTCAGCTGTGTCCTCATATGTCTCCACTTCCTCTGATCACCTCATTTAGTCCTCAGTCTTGCTGTGTTCAGTGTCGCGTCGTCTGTGTTATCTCCCCTACCCCTTGTCACAGTTTCCCAACGATAGTAAGTCATAGTTTTTATGTTGTTTAGTCATAGTCTAAATCTCAGTAGAGTCATAGTTTCCCAGTTTATGTTCAGGTTTTCCCTCAGTTACTTTGTTGTTGTTGTTTTTTCCATGAGTTTTCGCCCCTAAATAAAGGCTCTCTTTTTGTTAAGTCCAGTTTTGTGTCCTCGCCTCTGTCTCCTCTTGGGTCCTCTACTCACTCCACATGGTCTACCCCGGCAGTCCGTGAAAGTTTTACCCATATCCTATCGCGATATTTCATTTTCTTATTGTTGCCTAACATTGTACCGGTATTACTGTGAACGGTATAATATGGCCTAGCCCTAAGTACAAGCTAAGTACAGGCTATGAACAGGATATAAATATGAAAAAACTATACACAAATATGAAATTTAAAAAAAACTATACAGAAATATGAGATATACAGCTATACAGAAATGTGAACTGTGCAAGTTATAAGCAGTTGTAGAATTAAAAATTATCGTATTATACAGAATGATTATTTATACAGAATTATACAGTAGTGCAGTTAAGATGAGTGAGATATGTGGATAATTTCTACAAAGGCTATATAAAGTGCTAGTGGTTGAGAGTGGTGGTTCAGTCCATGTTATTATTGTGTGTATGAGGGTACAGTTGTCCATTGTGTGTGTAGGTGGTTGTGGGTGTGTGTATGTCCAGTCCATGTGTTTAACGTGGGTCAGATGTCAGGAGGCAGAGTTCAGGAGTCTGACAGCTGTGGGGAAGAAGCTGTTCCGGTACCTGGTGGTCTTAGTCCGGAGGCTCCTGTAGCGCCTCCCAGAGGGCAGGAGGGTGAAGAGTCCATGTGATGGGTGACTGGGGTCTCTGATGATTTTCCCAGCCCTTTTCAGACACCGCTTCCTGTAGATGTCTTTTATGGCAGGAAGTGGTGCTCCGGCGATGCGCTGGGCAGTTTTCACGACCCTCTGCAACGCCTTCCGGTCCGAGGCAGAGCAGTTCCCGTACCAGACTGTTATACAGTTGGTCAGGATGCTCTCGATGGTGCAGCGATAGAAGTTCACCAGGATGTCTGAGGACAGGTGGTTCTTCCTCAGAGTCCTCAAGAAGAAGAGGCGCTGGTGAGCCTTCTTGACCAGCTTGGAGCAGTTGGTCGTCCAGATGAGATCCTCGGAGATGTGGACTCCCAGGAACTTGAAGCTGCTCACACGCTCCACAGCCATCCCCTTAATGTAGATGGGTGGATGTGGGTCAGCATTCCTCCTGTAGTCCACGATGAGCTCCTTGGTCTTCTCAGTGTTAAGCAGCAGGTTGCTTGTGTCGCATCACTCAGCCAGATGATCCACCTCCTCCCTGTAGGCGGCCTCATCGTTGTCACTGATGAGGCCAATCACTGTGGTGTCATCTGCAAACTTAATGATGGTGTTAGAACCATCGGCAGGTCTCCAGTCATGGGTGAAGAGGGAGTAGAGGAAAAGGCTCATCACACAGCCTTGTGGTACACCGGTGTTCATTGTGATTGTAGATGAGCAGTGGTTATCCAGCTGGACATGTTGGGGGTGGTTGGTCAGGAAGTCCAGTAACCATTTGCACATGAGGAAACTGATGCCCATATATGTTAACAATAACATATATTCCTATATGACAACATGCATAAATTAACTGCCAACATTAATTCATTGTAAACATACCTTCTGACTGGGACTCCCCTGCTGCCAGAAACCCCATGACCACAAAGAACTTCCATCTCATCCCGATCCTGCTGCAGACCCGCTCCTCTTCTTTTTCTCCATCTTCTTCTACTTGGAGTATGTGTCCCTGAGGCTCTTCCACTTTCTCCTGCAGATGTCCTCTGAATAAGTACATAATCTCGTTAGCAGAAAGGTATTTGTACATCAGTAGGAAAATAGCAGGACAGTAGGCGGCTTGCTAGCTTTTGTGCGGCTTCCACGGGTCAGTCAAAAATTTCAAAAGAGAAATGAATGAACTTACCAGGTTGCCCGATCTCTTCACACATCTTCCTCCGAGCTAGGCCTTTTTTATTCCTGTCTCGGTAGAGAAAACAGCTGGTGTCGTACAGCTCCGTGTGGTTTGCTACGGCGTTGATGACCCTTTCCTCCATATTGAATGAAGAATAAATGGCTTTGGCTGGACCTGCCCCTTTTGAACTACGGTCAGAGCATCATGTCACCAGGCTCCTAATTGGTTGTCGTGGCACGGCTTGAAGCTGGATACGCGCAAATGCACAAAATGCAGCACACAAACTGCCGCATGTATTTTTATTCGTGCTTCAAACGTGTCAGTCACGCTACTCGCGCGACTCATGCGTTTTCACGATGCAAATCTGCTTCTGAATTTTCGCGGGACCCCCAGTCACGCTTCATGGGGTTCTTCCATTGACTTTACATGTAAACCTGATGCTCTGGTCGCGTCTATTGCGTTCGGTGTGAACACACCGTAAGAGAAATATGCACTCTATTTCTAGTCCATGTCAGTACTCAGATTGGATAAGTGTAGTCGGATTATAACAACAGGAGGGAAGGTAGTCAGAACTGAGGGGATCGAACTACCAAAAGCCAACATTGCAAGCATCAAGGACAGCCACAAGTACCTGGGGATCATGCAGACAAATGGGAACCACAAAGAGGTCACTCGGAAAGCTGCAACCACTAAGTACCTGCAGAGGTTCAGGCACATCCTGAGAAGTCATATGAATGGTAAGAACAAGATCTGGGCTATAAACACCTACACCCTGCCTGTGATCAGGTATCCTGCTGGCATAAAAGGCTGGCAAAAGCCAGTGACATCAAGACAAGAAGGCTCCTGACCATGCATTATCATAGTCCAGGATGAGACAACATACATTCACGAATACATCAGGAAAATGCCCCGACAGACTGTGTGCTTAGTGAATACCTCAGGCAGCAGAAACCCAAGTGTTAGAATGAAGTTACCTGAAGTGCCTAAATTCTATGCTTTATATTAAGTAAAGTGTTATATAGTCATATAAGTTGATAAAATGTAGAGGGTCACGGCAACAGTGGTTTCTATGTTAATCGGGGCACTCGGGGAAATGATCTGATACCAATACAACATCCGAGATCTCTGTCCGGAAACCCAGAGAGATATGTCCATTCACATATGGAAAATAGAAAAAGAAAATGTTTCCTTTTCAAGAGGTTTCTTTAGCCTTTTTTCATACACTCGAATTTTTTGCGTATATAGTAAGCCTATACTAGTTCAATGATTTAAAAACAATGCATGGGCAAATTCAATGAATTGCACAGTGATATAAACATCAGATCAGATGTTTATAGGTCAGATTTCCTGAAGTTGTTTACATGTTAGTGGAGAACCTAATGAGTCCCATAGAGGATGGAAGATTTCTAATAAAACAAAGCCATATAGTCAGTCACTTACCTTCTTAGTGTAGTGCTGAAAATATATTATTCCAATACAGTAACAGTTGCATTTTCATTTGTTATTCTTGAATACCATTTATGTAATATAGTTCCATACTCAGTAACGTTTTTGTTTTTGTCAATGGATGTTGAATTAAATCTAACATTGGTAACTTTTGGTGGGTTTGCAGAATTGCACAAATACAGGTATCTTTATTTTGTAGTTATATCCACGTTATATATTCTGATTCTCTGCTTTAATTCCACTATAGTGTGCCTTATTTGGACTCACAAAAACCTTCACGAGCCAATGTACAT